AGTGGTGCAGGTGTAACTCCCAGGTATTTTTTCTCCTAAGGGGCTGGATATTCGCCAAGGTGGAGATTTGTTATGGTATGGCTCATATACCATATTGGGACAGACGCTGGATCGAAGCGGAGCAGAGCGGAGCGGAAGAATCTGTCCAAATTGGGAAGTTACGTGGGTTGGGGTGCGGGGGCAAAGCCCCGCGGTATGGTACAGGGGTAATGTTGTAATTACATATTGTGCCTAGGTTTACTCCTGGGGTTATAAATAGGTCTGTTAGTAACCCCAGGAGGTATCCCTGATTTCTGTAAACTCTTTTCTGAATATTGAAAGGAACTCGCCGCTCTGCTCCCGAGGACGTAGGCATCTTTGCCGAACCTCGTTAAATCTCTGTGTTCTTCTGGATTTGTGTCGATTATTATTTTTCTTCGCCTTAATTTTCTCAACATATATATATATATATATATAAGATTTTATCATTATTAGCTCTACATAACTATTTTTGGTTATGCATATGAAGCCTTATAATCCATTCTTGTTAAGTGCCATATAAATTGCCTAATTTTATGCATTTGTTCCTTATTATTATTATTATTATGTATTTTTATTTTTTTGTATACCTCAGACATGCACGCGCACACACACACACATACCCTAATTCCTTCACTCAAATTTATTTTATTCACTAAAGTATATTGACTAATGTTGCTTTATTTTTAATCTAAAAAACTCGAGCACTAATTTGTGTAGTTGTAGCTATGAAAATTTTGCTCAAACCCACAAAAATTTAATATCTATTATTGAACTATTGCCAATTTTAAATCTATAATAGATTATATGCTCACTCTATATATCTACTAGTCTTGGGCTTGAAATTTTAGCATAAAATTTTACATTAGAAAAATAATTTAGTTTATTAGCACAATTGATACATTTTCTTACTCTCTTATGATACATGCAAGCAATCAAAACTTATTTGCCACAAGAGGCCTTAAATGAATCTATGTAAAGCTCCACCCTTGTAAAGCTCCATCCATATTTTAATGTCGTACAAATTATTTTTTAATATTGTCAATAACATAATTAAATGTCTCTTCAAAGGCATCTAATAATTGGAATGGTATAAAGAAGATTAGCATGGCCCCTGCACGAGAACGACATGCATAAAAAGAGAAATTTCAATAAAATTAACTACGTTTATTGTATATCATATGATGGGTGTTTGATTACTTATTCTATGCTATTTACCTTCTATATTGTTATTCATCTTCGAGTTTTTTTTATTCATAAGAAATAAATTACGAGAGATCCTTAGATACATTATAGCTTAAAACTCCATATATCATATGCTCTAGAAAATAAAATAAATAAGAATAAAATCAAGAGCATAGAAATTTGCTAGTTCAAACTAAACTTAATAAATCCCGTAGTCAAAATTGTGAGCCTTTTTAACAAGCTCCATTTAAATGTAGAAAGAATCTAAAGTCTCCGACTCTAACAAGTTGTGTAGGGTAGAGAATAGGAACAATGTAAGGCTTTTAAAATAATTAGAATGGTCCATAAATCCAATCAACTCTCGGTTATGATGCCATAAGATCCATCCCAACATCGTTTGAATATATAGACATGTCAAGGCTTAGATTTATAACATCCATATATCTTACATGACGAAGGGATTAGAGAAGACTTGAGTGTGGCTGGAAGCTGATGGCAAGCTGTGCACGCAAGGATGCCATGGTGTGAGCTGACTATTAAATTTTAGGGGAATTTATATTCATACCACACAATTCTTATATATTTACCTGTGTAACACCTAACTAAACTTCGTGTTTTACATTTATACCATCCAAGAATTTCTTAGCACTCAAAAATATCGCTCTCTTAACTTTTACAAAGTGAAATACAGCTTTTCATGTTGATGCGCCAACAAACAAAATTTTATCCGACACGAATCTCGTGGCATGACATGAATCTGAGACAATCCGCTGAATAAGAAATATTCAAACTTCAATTAAGAGTCATCCAGAGCTTTAATTTCAGCAAAATTATAGTCAAACTGGCCGGCTCGATGAGACGGGCCAAATGATATCAAAATTAGCCCAATCCGAGTTAAATTGAGCTCATAACAAGTCATTGAACTACTTTTGAAATTTTTTCGGACATATTTAGAAGATCAAACGAATGTTGAATCTAACAAGACTATAGTCAACGAGGGTCTCGATAAGACGTATCCAACGAGTCTAAAATTGCTCAATTCTGACATCATTAAGGTGCTTAAATGACCATCAAACCGTCTGATCAAATAAAGCTCTCTGGACCATCCGATCAAAGTGGGTCATATTACTACATTAATTGCACTCAGAATACTGTAAATAGAGTCATGCCCCTTTCGTGAGAGGGAGGAGAGCTTGAAACTAGAGAAATAATTTAAAGTTTTGAGAGGGAGCTGAAGTCCAACACCACTCCTGCCACCGTCGATCACCGTCGACCGTCATTGACCACCACTGACCGTCATCGATCATTGCCGACCATCGTTGACCACTGCCGACCGTCGTCAACTACCACATGCCGACCTCTACCAATCGTCATCAGCTGCCGCAAACTTCTTACAACAAGTTCATTCATACATCGATTGTAATTCAGAAGACTTTGTAACCTTTCTTGTTTGTGGGATAAGAGGTCACCGTAATTATCAACTTATAGTGGTTTTTTACAATTGGATTAAACCTCGTGGTTTTTTCTTTTTACAGGTTTTCCACATTAAAACATCTGGTGTTACTACTAATTGTTTACTTTTATCTGAGAGTATGCTGAATTCTCGTGCAACGCAAAGACGATAATTCATTACTCTACCGCCATGAATTCTCAAAAATAAAAAAAAATTACTTAATATAAGGACAAAATCACAATCTATCGTAACAAGTTTTTCCATCGTATTCGGACATTATTCTTATACTGTGTAAGATTAAAATATTAATTAAGTATGTTGGAACGCAACACTTTAAATTAAATATATTATTTTCAATAATTTAGAGGTATTTAAATGCAGATCATATAATTTTTAAGTACACATTTACTTAATATCTAAATTTGATATTTATATTTATAATATTTTATATATTTGAAAAATGATATTTTATTTTAAAAAAATTAAGAACAGTTATATTTGTATTTGATATAAAAATTTTGTGTGTTATAAATATAAATATAAAATAAAAAAGAATAATTATATGCAGATCACTTGAAATATTTAAAAAATAAGTTATTAAATATATAAATGTGTATATGAATTATGCGATATATCATAAAAGGATTTTTAGATATCAATCAATATAAATTTTAAATATAATATTTTAATTATTTTTTCATTAAATCAGTACTCATGAAATTTTTGATGAAATTTTTGAAAGGTTAAATTAATTTATATAAAAAATTGATAAGTTAAAATATTATATTTATAATTTAAAAGGGTTAAAATGTTATATTAAATATCAAATAATTTAATAATTTGCGGGTAAAAAATAAATCTTCCGCTGCACGAATCACACAAGGACCGCTTCACATCCGTCGCGGAACCTTCCTTCTTCGATCTCCCGCTCATCAGTCTTCTGCTACTCTGCTTCTCCTTCGGGGGGCTTCTTAGCTCTCTCTCTCTTTTCTCCTCTCAGTTCAGCCATAACTGTGCAATACACCCTTCTCACATTCCTAAACCCTAAATCACAGCCCAAACGCTTCAATCTCTACTCGCGTTCCAACCGTACCTGCAGTTCTCTAGGGCACGATGCCGTCCCTGATAACTCCAGGTAAAATTCTCCGGTTGGAGCTCGAGAACTTCAAGTCGTACAAGGGCCGGCAGGTGATCGGTCCCTTCTATGACTTTACGGCCATAATTGGCCCGAATGGGTCCGGCAAGTCTAACCTCATGGACGCAATCAGCTTTGTCCTCGGCGTGCGATCCAATCATCTCCGTGGTGCGCAGCTCAAAGATTTGATCTACGCTTCTGACGACCGTGAGAAGGAGCAGAGGGGGAGGAAGGCCTTTGTCCAGCTTGTGTACCAGATGGGCAACGGCTCGGAGCTTCTGTTCACGAGGACCATCACTGCTGCGGGGAGCAGCGAGTACCGGATCGATCAGAAGGTTGTGACATGGGATGAGTACAACTCAAGGTTGAAGTCTCTGGGTATTCTTGTGAAGGCCAGGAATTTTCTTGTATTCCAGGTAGGTATCAGTATACAGTGAAGCTTAGTATTGTTTCTATTGTTACTTTTGGAGTGCATGGTTTTAACAAGATAGAGTTGGCCGTTAAATTTGTTGTTTGTTTATTTGCGATAAATTCATTTTTCAAACTTAAGAAAGGGGTTTACTGCACTAGCTATGCTTGTTAACACACTATGATTTTGCTGCTTTCTTCCTGTTTATAGAAGATAAAGTTTCAGAGGGCTGTTTGCTGTTTCTTTTTTCTTTTTCTCTTATTTAAAGAGCCTTATGATACCACTCATATTGAACTTGACGAACAAATTGAATTTTTAAAGTGAGTGCAGCTTTTGTCAAGAATAATTATAAATACTGCTGGTAAGATGAGAAATTAAAATCAAAGTTTGTATTTTTTTCAAATCACTTGCAGTGAAATTTTTGAATAAAATCAAAATTGTCCTGATTGAAACCAGGCATTGATTGGCTAGCAGAGCTTGAAAATTTTTCTTTGTGATTTGGATGTCAAGACTATAAGTTGAAGGGTTAATATTTTATTTTATTTACCGTTTACTAATTTTCTGATTGCTTCTGCGAACATCAGGGATTATGTCTTTTAGCAAATATTTATAATCTATTAGCATATTTTAGGGGCTGTTTGGTAACAGATTTAAGGTGGGATTTAATGAAGATTTAACTTAAATCTTGCCAACTGTGAAAAAGCCCATTTTAAATCTTTTTTCTAAATAAAAATTTCACACATTTTTAATGTAAATCCTGGATTTTATAAATCCATCTGTTCGACGGATTTAAGAGATTTAACAAAAAAATGCACAAAAGGGCAAAAAAATATTCCGTTCGGACGTCTGGACAACCAAACACCGGCGGTCACGTTGCCCTCTGATGACGTGTTTGGCCGTCATGACGTGCGGTGTCTGGACGGAATATTTTCTCCTAAAGCAGGGGGAGAAAGATGAGCACTTTGTGCATGAGAGGAGGGGAAAGGGAACTAGGGTTATCCTCGACAACCTCCTGCCTCAAGCAACATCACCATCCAACACCGCCCTCACGAATCAATAAACTCATGATGCTTTTGCCAACCGGCTCTTGCATCCCTTTTGTAAGTTTTATATGGCAAGAGTGGATGGGGAAAGGAATATAGAGGATAGGAGAGGAGGAGTTAAACAGTAATAATTAATTAAAATGTTATGAATAATTAATTTATATTAAAAATTAAATTAAATTTAATTAAATAGTAATAATTTATTAAAATATTGTTATAATCAATTAATGATTAATTAAAATTTTATTTTATATTGATTATGATGTTAAAATTTTTTTTAACAATTATAAATAAATTTCGTTGATAATTCATAAAATAAATTACGTGTAAATTTATTAACTTAAAAAAAATTATCCATATTAATTAATATCAATTTATCATAATTTTTAATCAATACTAACCACATAGAAGTTATGATGGTAAATTATTTTAATAATGTACTTATTAATAAATAATTGGATGTTATTTATATTAATTTTTTATTATTAATTGAGTATAAATTATGAATTGATGATTAATTAATAAGTTATTTGCATTTAATATAATTTAATCAGATTTGATGACAATTGATGTAGGCTTATTAAATAGCTCATTAATGTTTAGTTAATAAAGATCCAATTACTAGTTAATATTTAATTAATTTACTAAATTCTGATTATTAATTAATTAGCTTAGTATTAAACTAAAAGATAAATAATTGAATATTAAAATACTAATTAATGGCTTTTTTTTGTTTATGTAATTGCAATTCTTATATGATTTACTAAATGTCTCATTTTATTTACGTACTGTCGTTACAATCTGTTCATTTGATTTATATTATTATGTTAAATACTCATAAGTTAACAGACTTAAATCCTGAAAAAAATTGCCAAATAGTTTTACAAGATATAACCAGATTTAATATATATATATATATAATGTCAAATAGTTTTTGGGAATTTAGCCACCATAGGATTTACTGAAAGTGAATTTATAGGATTTACTAAATCCACTTGAGTTGATTGCCAAAAGTTGCCAAACAACCCCTTAATGAGCTTGTGCAATCTTCTGTTGATAGCTTTTAACATAATACATTTATGATATTGACTAGTAATGTAAACATCATATACCTGAAGGAAACATCTCCTTAATTAGCCTGCACTATCTTCTAGTGATAGCTTTTAAAATAATACATCTCTGATAATTATTAGTAATGTAAGTATCATATACCTAAAGCATTTTTCACGTTGATTTGTTGTGTATGTCAAGTTGCTTTTATTAATGTGTGTGTAAGATTTTTAGCAAAGGAATTTTATAAAACTTTTTTGACTACAAACATTTGAATTTTGTTTAAATTGCCATTCCTTCTGATGTGGAGGATGTAGTGATTTGTGAACACTTATTGCTTGTTTCTTTTAATGTAAATGTTGGACGTAGTTGGTGTACATTTTATGTGAGTTGTTTTTAGTTGAAATTGGAGTTGTCTGCTTACCTTTCATGAATTCATTTTTTCCAAGCATACTTTGGTTGTACAGAGTTTTATTTTTATTTCCTCCTCCAATGAAATTTATATTTTTTTAATCTTAAATTTATCGCCCAGACTTCTTTTATCTTTGTATTTTTAATTATCATTATATGAAACTAAAAATATAAGATGACTTTCAAGCTCTCGTAATTGCAACTCTCTTCTCACCATTGTTATGGTGAATTTATGTTTGGTGTTCTGTGATCGAGCTCCAACCCAATCCAAACAATTTTGTCAAAATAAATAGCCTTAATCAAGTGAGGGCATGTTTCTTTTATATTTTCTATAGAAAGGTCAGACTTTTTCAGGTTGTAATTTTCCATTAGTAAGCATGCAATAAAATGAAAAAGGATTAAAATGCATAATATTATTATTATCCACTTTAATTGATCTCAATGTGGCTGCAATTGAATGATAATAAGATTTATACCAACTGCAAGAGTTTTCTTGCTAATGGCATTCTTTGATGGTTCATAGGAACCTGGGTAACTTATAGGCAGTTTTGATTTTCTTTAATGCCGATGCTAGACTTCATCCTGATTTGGCAGAAAGTTATATCTTCGCATGAAAAGAAACATCGTCTAAAATTAAACAACTTCAAAATAAAATAGCTTTTTGAAATCAAGAGTATTTATTTTTGTTTGCAAAATAATTGAAAGTAAAATGTGATAGAAATTAAGGAAAGTAGAATGAATAAAAATAAATAATTAAATAGAAAATATATTTGAATTTTTTTTTCAATTATCTTGTCTTAGAATTCTAAAATGAACTTGTGGCTTATAATTGCAAAATGTTCTTGTGACTATTTGTTGGCTTCATGTAGATTTTTTGATTTATTGCAACTCTGAATCGGGATTTATGAAAAATTATATATGGGACACTTTTTAAAATCAGAATTAATTATTAGTTTTTTCTTGGCTTGTATATTTCATACATGCTTGATCTATTTATAATACATTCATGAAAGTCATTTTATGCTTTGAATTCAAACTTTTAAAATTATTTGTAGCCCTTATAATTCATTCATATTTAAGCATATGAGCAGTTGAGAAAAATTTTCAAAATTGGAAGGTTAGGATCATGGATTAGTAAAATCACGTTCCGCATTTTAAATAGTAGCAGTATATATATATATATATATTGTAATTC